TGGTCCTCTCCGTGGCTGTGGTCCTCTCTGTGCTCGTGGTCCTCTCCATGGTTGTGGTCCTCCACGTGGTTGGTCCTCTCCGTGCTCGTGGTCCTCTCCGTGGCTGTGGTCCTCTCCATGGTTGTGGTCCTCTCCCTGGTCGTGGTCCTCTCCATGGTCATGGTCCTCTCCGTGGTCGTGGTCCTCTCCGTGGTCGTGGTCCTCTCCATGGTCATGGTCCTCTCCGTGGTCGTGGTCCTCTCCGTGGCTGTGGTCCTCTCCATGGTCGTGGTCCTCTCCGTGGTCGTGGTCCTCTCCGTGGTCGTGGTCCTCTCCGTGGTCATGGTCCTCTCCGTGGTCGTGGTCCTCTCCGTGGTCGTGGTCCTCTCCGTGGCTGTGGTCCTCTCCATGGTCGTGGTCCTCTCCGTGGTCGTGGTCCTCTCCATGGTTGTGGTCCTCTCCATGGTCGTGGTCCTCTCCATGGTCATGGTCCTCTCCGTGGCTGTGGTCCTCTCTGTGCTCGTGGTCCTCTCCGTGGCTGTGGTCCTCTCCATGGTCATGGTCCTCTCCGTGGCTGTGGTCCTCTCTGTGCTCGTGGTCCTCTCCATGGTTGTGGTCCTCCACGTGGTTGGTCCTCTCCGTGCTCGTGGTCCTCTCCGTGGCTGTGGTCCTCTCCATGGTTGTGGTCCTCTCCGTGGTCGTGGTCCTCTCCATGGTCATGGTCCTCTCCGTGGTCGTGGTCCTCTCCGTGGCTGTGGTCCTCTCCATGGTCATGGTCCTCTCCGTGGTCATGGTCCTCTCCGTGGTCGTGGTCCTCTCCATGGTCATGGTCCTCTCCATGGTCGTGGTCCTCTCCGTGGTCGTGGTCCTCTCCATGGTCGTGGTCCTCTCCGTGGTCGTGGTCCTCTCCGTGGTCGTGGTTCTCTCCGTGGTCGTGGTTCTCTCCGTGGTCGTGGTTCTCTCCGTGGTCGTGGTCCTCTCCGTGGTCATGGTCGTCTCCATGCTCGTGGTCCTCTCTGTGGCTTGTGGTCCTCTCCATGGTCATGGTCCTCTCCATGGTCGTGGTCCGCTCCGTGGCTATGGTCCTCTCCATGGTCATGGTCCTCTCCATGGTCGTGGTCCTCTCCGTGGTCGTGGTTCTCTCCGTGTGCATGGTCCTCTCTGTGCTCATGGCCATCTCTGTGGCCAGTCTTACTTCCAGGGTTTCTGTGGTGCTTGCGGACCCGGTGCAGGCCCTCGGCCTTCGTTGAGCGCCTGGAGCATCGAGCCCCGAAGTGTTTTCGGAAGTACTGGCTGGGGCGGGAGCTGGGATGGGAGAGGACGGAATTCTGGCTTCGGCTCCCTGTCCCTGCCCCGGGGCCCCCACCTAACCGTTCCAGGCCAGGCAGCGGTCCAGGGCCGGGGGCAGAGCGCACTCCTGTCTCAGGCCTCACGTGTCACCGCGGCGCCAGAGCCGCAGTCGGTGGGGGAAGGATGCGAGAGGCTGATCCTGGTGGTTTGTGCGTGCCTTGCTCGGGAAGGAGCTCTGGGGGCCGGGCAGAGACACTCCGGGAGAGGCAGTCCTCGGGTCCACAGGGTGAATGTTGGCACGAGAGGAGGACAATGGGAATAGGTTGGTGGAATTCTCCAGAGCCAGGATGGAGGATTACAATTGGGCGGGAGAAGAGGTGTGGGTTACATATTAACAAAGAGATAAAGAAGAGGGACTTTCACGGAACTCCGGGGAGTGGGTGCAGGTGAGACCCCCTGCGGGCACCTGTGGGCGGGAGCGCGAGCGTGGTGGGGGCAGGAGGGGGGAGCCCGGGCTGCTGAGTGCGGTGCCTTCACCGGCCACCACCCCGCGGGGCACCGGGCCCTGCTGAGCGGCCCTCGGCCTCTGTGGCCCTGTCCCCATTGCCGTCCTGCTGATGCCACCCCTCACCTGCTCTGGCCTCCATGAGGCCTGGGGCCCCGGGGGAGCAATGCCATCTGAGGGGCCTGCGCCGAGGCCTGACAAGTCTGCGCATTTCCATCCGCCTTCTCTCTCGGGCCACCCCCGGGCTCTTTAAGACCTACCTTAACTGTCACTGTCTTGCCGGAAACTCCTCCGTGAGCCTCAGTGGCCTCAGAATAAGGCTCAAAGTCCTTAACAGGGTTCCTCCGAGCTCTCTGTAAGCAGCCTCTGCGGGGCCCAAGCGGCGGCTTCGCGGAACGAACGCAACACACACACCCCTTGCCTGGGCCTCCATGCCCGCGCAATGCCATTCCCTTGGTGCACTCCTGGCGAACTCCTATCCCCCCTTCAAATCCCAGCCCAGGTGCTCCCACCTTCCTGCTCCGGCTCCTCTGCGCTGGCCTCTTGGAGCCGTGCACACGGCGCCCTCTGACTCCAGACGGGCCAGGCCCGCCCGCTAGCCAGAACCCCCCACCCCGCCTTTCCCTCAGCCTGTAGAAGTGGAATCAGAGGCTGAAGTTCACGTTGGTTGAACATTAGGCATTTGTGGAACTCAGGCACTGTGGGCTCTGCGAATTAGCAGACCTGGGCTTTGAACCCAAGCCCACTCGGGGAGGGGTGACCCCCGTCAGGAAAGCCGTGGAGCCCGTGCTTCCGAGGGCCCCTGACGGCAGGACGTGCCTGGAGTCCCTCTCAGCGCCCCCATGGCTCTGCTCAGCTTCTGGGGACGGTGGTTCTTCTGTTCCAAATACGTCTTCGTCATTCCTTGTAGGGTCTGGTGGACTGGGCTCGGGCTATGCTTCCCGCGAGCCCGGCAGCCTCGTGACCAACCCCGTGTCCTTCTCCGTCCCAGGCCACTGCCAGGGGGACGGGTACCGCATCGGCTTTGGCCAGTGTGCTGGAAAAGTGCTGCCTGCCCTCTTGCCCGCGTGATCTTCTCTGCGTGGCTGGACGTGAGGAGCTCCCCGCCCCCGCCTGGGGCGTCAGCGGCCGCCTGTGGGGCTGTGGGCCTGGCTCTTCATCAGGGGTAAATAAAGCCGGTGTGCTCGGCCTTCACGCTCCATGCCCCGTGCCGTCTCCGTGTGTGAGGTCCACTCGCGTTCTTGATTTGATCCAGAGGGTCCTTGAGAGACACTCACTTGTTTCCTTGTTCTTACGAGTGGTGCTCATCACACGTCCTTCCCATCACACATCCCGGCCCTCCCAGCGTTCCCTGGAGTGTGGGAAGAGTGCAGCACCTACACCAGTTAGGATCCCCAGAGGAACAGAAACGAGAGGATATGTATGTATAGAGAGAGATTTATTGTAAGGAATTGGCTTGTGATTGTGGAGCCTGGCAAATCCAAAATTTGCAGGGTGGGCCGGTAGGCTGGAGACCCAGGGAAGAGTTGCAGTTTGAGTCTGAAGGTGGTGTGCTGCGGAATTCCCTCCTCCTCTGGGGAGATCAGGCCTTTTTCTTGTAAGGCCTTCAACTGATTAGATGAGGCCCACCCACATTTTGGAAGGTAATCTGCTTTACTCAAAGTCCACTCACTCAAATGTTAATCTCATCTGAAAAATGCCTCCACAGCAGCATCTAGACTGATGTTGGACCAAACATGTGGGTATCGTGGCCCAGCCAAGTTGACACATAAAGTCATCACAGCACCCCACATGTCCTTGGGGGCTGACTCGTGGGGGTACATGAGGTGCGGACTTGGTCCACGGGCACTGTGGCTGTCTCGGCACATTGTAAGTGTTGGGTGGAGCCCCCAGGTTGTGGGCACAGACACCTGAACTGTGAGAGGGCAGAAAGGGGGCCAAGGGGGCTCACTTTGCTTCCCTTGTAAGCCCATGAGAATCAGGAGAGTGAGCCCTACCCACGGCAGACAAGCAGCCCCAGCCCCAGCCTGGTTCCTGGTCCCCACGGTGACTTCTCTGGACCTGGTGGACCACAGCAGAGCCTGGGAGCAGGACCAAGCATGCAGAGCCTGTCCGTCAGATCATGCCATCCATTCATTCCTGAAATCTTTGTCGAGTCCCCTGTGTCCAACACTGTTCTGAGCACAAGAGATGCTGCAGAGCACAGAGTAGCCCAGCCTCGGCCCTTGTGGTGCTCACTTGCCAGCGGGAGGCAGACAGACTAAATAAGTAAAGGGACAAGGAAAAGACAGACCGCGTGTAAGGTAGCGATGAGGTCTCCGGAGCACTGGGGGACATGGGTGTTACTATAAGCAGGGTGGTCAGGGAAGGCTTATGTCTTAGATTCTTAGTGCTTTCCTGCCAGGCAGCCGGAGGGAGGCAGCCAGCTGGATGGCTATCTACAGAGAGAATGCTCCAGGTAGAGGGAGTAGTCAGGGCAAAAAAGCCCCAAGGATGGGACATCGAGGAGGCTAATATTTCTCCCATGAAAGCATTCCAGGGCCGGGAAGTCTGGAGTTTGTAAGGTGACGTCACAGTGTCATGGAGAGCCCACAGTGCTCATCCTCAGCATGTGGTTTTCATCCTCAAGGCCGCCTCATGGTACCAAAGGCTGCTGGAGCTCCAGCAACTATGCCCAAATTCCAGGCCTGCAGAAAAAAGAAATCAAGAGGTTTGGGGCGTGGTGGAGAGGATAGAAGCACCTCCTTCCGGCTGAGTTATGTCACTTTAAGCAGCCTCCCTGGGAGTTCCACATCACACTTTTCACCCGATTTCATCGCCAAGAACTTAGTCACAAGACCACACCTCATTGTGAGGGAGTCTGCGGATGCAGTCTTTAGCTGAATGCATGGTTTCTTCAGTTGAAACCAGAGCTCAATGGCTAAAGAAGAGGAGGGGAATGGATACTGGGGGGCCGCTGGTGGTCTCTGTAGCCCGCAGGGAGGCCTCACGCTCGGAGGTGGACCTGCTCTCACGCAGTTGACTCTTTCATGGAGCCGAGCCCTGGGCCATAGTCTCCAATCGTTGCTGATTTCAGTGGAAATCCTGTATAGCTCAGATGGCGGGGGGTGGGGGCTGGGGGGGGGACTCCCCCCCCGACCCCCACCATCTAGATAAGATTGATCCAAATACTTTCTGAATTTGAAAAGCCAGACCCTTCCTGCGGATTTCTCTGCATTTCCGGGGGCTTGTGTTCCCAGGGTCACCTCTGTTCTGTCGGCTGCGCCGGCATCCTGTTCTCCACCCTGTGTTCGAGGTTGTTCCTTTAGTCCTGTCTCCTGGCATCAGTTGGCATGGGGTATTCATCCTTCTTTGCCTTGGAGGCCTGACGTCACTGTGGCTGAACACCTGCTATACACGGAAGAGCATTCCCGGAGGTCTCCGGCTCACGGACAAAGGCCATTTAAAATCAGTATTCATGCACTTGGCCCCGCTGGTGCCGGGGAATGCTGGTATCAGCTATGGAGACCACGCATTTATCCCCTGGCCATGCACTCACTGTGCTTCTGGGGGTGGGTGGTGCGGGAAAATCTGCTGGATGGGGCTGCAGAGCCCAGCACACAGGGCAGGCGATGCTGGCCGTCATCCGAGCCCCGGACGCATCCACCAGCCAGAGCAGGAGGTCTCAGCCTGGACACCTCCTCGGCCTGCAGCCCCCCTGCTCCCCAGGCTCCAGGAATGCCCGGGCGGCCCCAGATGACCAGTGAATGAGTGGTCTATGCTTTGGGAGCCGAGCTTATTGAAAGGACAAGAAATACACAAAAATGGCATTCGTGGCCTTTGTTTGACAGTGGTCTGTCATGAACTAGAGGCCTTTTGAAACCGTGGACGGAGTTCGCAGATTTGGTGGCTATAGTCCGAGGATGAGGCTAGCCTCAGGCCAAGACCAGATTTGGGGGGACAAGGGAGCTTTAGGATTTTAAGTACCATATTGATTTTACATCAAAGATTCCTGACGCAAAATGGATCTCAAAAGTGGCTATATTTTTTTTTTCTTTCTTTAGTTTGGAAGCGTATGTTTTTAGCGCCCTCAGGAAAAATGAACGTGACAGGGTTGCCTTCCAAAGCATGAGTCTGTCTCTTGTATCTGCCCCTTTCCTGCCCCCTCGGCAGGACCCTGGGCCTGGGGGAGAGGCGGGAAGGACCCAGAGGAGCCACTGATCTATGGGAGAAGGCAGGGAGTGGGTGCTTCTTGCAGATTCTGCTGTTTTGTTTGTTTGGTTCGGTTTTTCATGGTCTCAGAGACTAAGACTGGGGCCAGGATTATTCAGGGACTGTGCCAACAACACACCCAAGAGCTGGAGTCTGCCTTCTCCAGAGGCTAAGCTCCCGAGGGCAGAGTTAGCTGCAGCTCGAGGAAGGTTCTCCATGACCTGGCACAGTGCCTACCCAGCACAGAGTAGGCACTCGGCATATATTTGCTTAATGAATGAGTATCTGGGGGATCACTGCGGACAGGCTTATGTCGCATTCCTAGGCCCGCCCGTAAGCCAGGAGACACCTGGAGACCCACTTCTGCCTCCGTGTTTAAGAGGTGTAAGTCAGGCTACATACTTAAAGACATCCTGTTCCTCCGGCCTCGAGGTATGTTTTCATAATGACAACACAAAAATAGTTGCAGAGCCATCTCTGGTTTCTGTATGCTTGAAAATTGGCAAGACATCAAGCATAGCAATTTGCTTATTTTTCTTTTTTTAATTGAAGTATAATTAACATACAGGGTTCTATTAGTTTTAGGCGTAGAGTGTAGAGATTCAGCATACACCACCCGTGCGCATCACGGCGAGTCCCTGTTGATCCCCCGCTTCTGGGGCACCTCTCCTCCCCTCGCCGCCCCTCTGACCATCAGTCTGTTCTCATATCAAACATAACAGTTCAATCACTGCGCGTGAGCAGCGCCGGGCGGGGGCAGTTTGGGATGAGCGTTAAAGACGTACAAATTCATGAGTTCTGTAAATATTTTTAAATAAAATTTTTAAAATTTAAAATTTATCATTCTTGCCTGAATTTCATTAGAATCACTAATTATTGTGTCATAATCAAGCTTTTGACATAACTTGGGTTTTACTGAGAGACTAAATGATTAGAAACTAAAGTGAATTATACTCAAAATGTACAAAATGTAAATAGTCTCACAAAACTCTGACGTTTAAAATTTGCAAAATAAAATTTATTTTATATGCATTTTTCAGTTATTTTTCTTTGATAATATTCAAAATCTCCATTAAAATTAAAGGCAAGATACAAATTATAATTGAAGAATATTAACATTGCATATCAAAGTTATCTAAATCAAGCTGAAATGTTTAAATTTATTTTAAAAAAATTTAAATCCTTTTACACACTTTTCATAAACATAAAACGATTTGCAATCCTAGTGTTCAGTGTCCGTCCAGTTGCCACAGTAAATAATTAGTATCACCCTTCCTGTGTCATGATGAGGCCTAACGTATCTATAAATTAATATGAACGCATTAATACTGCAAAATGTGCCCTAATTGCCACGTGTGGCTCTTGTGACTACGAGACTAATCTGTGTCTCCAGAAGCACAAACTGGACAAAGAGCAAGAAAACAGATGTTTGGTGCGGCTGCAAAATGCTTCTGGTGTGGGCCTGAGTCCGTTGCATCGTGCTGGGGTATTGAACCAGCTGACACACCATCTTTCCTTTACCCACTTTCTCTTCACCGCTGCCCTGGCTCCCTACGGCAGGGGAGGGACGGGCCCACCTCCCGCGGTGGCCGTGACCCACCACAGACCCGCGTTTATTTGGACGCGGAGCGGGCGTGGGGAGAGGCTGCACCTGGGGCCCGGCCAGTGTCACTCATGGGAGGGGCACCTGAAGCGCTGGTCGCTACACCAGGCGGACCGTCGAGGGACAGAGGAGCCCCTGTGACCCTTACGTGAATGTGTGCTTGTCTGTCATGTTGCTGGGCCCCCCAAAGCATGAGTCCCGGGCAAGGACACCCCTACCCAGGATCAAGGGCAGGACTGCTGCCGTGCCTCCCTTTCTGGGCCCCTACGTTGTCTCTGACATTTTTTGTGCGACAAAGAGGCTTGTTCCCTTCACCATCTGAGAGTGGCATTCCTGAGACGGACTCCAAAACTTCGAGCCTCGAGGGCGACACTTCTCTCCGGCCGGCAGATTCTCGTACGGTGGTTGGAACTTTGCCCTTGAGGCACGGTTTGT